AGTGCGAAAACAATGATGATACAATAACGGGAGAAAATGCTAAATTTGATTTCACAAGAAATTAATTATGACGCAGAGAGTCAAACGAGACGCATGATATCGTCTGAATGTTTTTTCAGTAAAAATGCGAGCTACATTCCCGTTCGAACATGTTTTGTAAACTCATACATTTTATAAGCCAGTCGGGAAATCCGAGTCTCCCGGCGTGCGAAATATCGGCTCCGAGTAGTAACGCGTCGCTTTGATAGTACGCATGTATGAGGGCAGATTTGAACTTTACACATCCCTCTGTTGACACGTAATACCTCCATTTACCGATGTTTAGAGTGATGAAAAATATGCGCACTCAGTGAACTACGCGAAATAAATTAAAAAGAAATTTTAATCGCTAGAAGTTGCGTTTCAATGGACGAGAAACACCAGATCGGCAAATATTTCGCATTCTGTTACCTTTGAATCCCGCGCTGCTCCCATTCGTAACTGAAAGTTTGTGTTCGCGTAGCCCACGCTCGCTTTCTCCATTTAAATTCCAAGGTCCGCGTCGAGAATCATTTGTCAATGACGAATTTTCAGTGCCGCTCCTCCCGGCCGTGACTTTTTGTATCGTTTCGCGACACTGTTACGCGTATCGTTATGGACATTAAGAAAACTCAAAGGCATGACCTTGTCGGGCTTTCAACCGTGAAAGCTCTCTCCTAGTTTGCTTATACACGGTGCTCTCAAAGTCGAAGTGCCTCAAGCAACGGAAAGTTAGGAAAATAACAAAACTGAAACTAACAATTGTATTCGACCTGAGAATTCGATTTATATCGCGAGAATACATCCCCTTCTCTCTCTCCCTCTCTCTCTCTCTCACACACACACATGTACACACACACGTCAAGCTAATTTTTCGTCGGCGGAAAATACAAATCTAGCGGAAAATTCATGCGAAAAGAGTTTGCCTTTTTTCAGAGGATACCTCGTATACATGTCCTGATCGTAAATCTTTTTGAAAAGTTTTGTCATAAACGGAGAGATGAGCGAAGCGTACGAAGAGCGAAGCGAGAGGCGAGCCGCAATCCGCCGTTTTCGGAATATCCTATTTCGGGGATTCGCGCATAGAGGGCAGATCCATTTTCTCGTGCCCTATCCGTGCTCCTTTTTGCGCGCGATGGTCATTTAGCTGATAGCTCGCGTATCGCGCGGTATTTGCACACAGCTGCTCGAAGGAAAACACTCGATGTGTGCCCCGATAAATAGCGCGCGCGCGGTCAGCTATAATTAGTGTGCCGAATAGGAAATGGGAAATGCGGAAACAATGTCGCATCCTGTTTGATTAATGAGCGGCCGCAGGATTCATAGATGAGTCGTCGCACGATTTATCGTGCAAGAAAAGGTTGCGAAAGTAAAGTCGTGATATGTGACGCGTAATCCGAGAAGATAATACCTGGAATAACGCTGAAGCGGTAGAACTACTCTGTTATTTGAGTTGTTGTATTGCGCTAGACCGGGATAATCGTGGCTCATTTATATTCCTGTAAATTAAACGGCACGCGGTGCGCGAGAGGAAGAGAGAGAAAGAGAGGGAGAGGGAAAAGTGCAATAATTAAAAAACGGCGGGAAAACATTCCGTGTTTTCGTTTATGACAAACGCCGTACCCGATTGTCCCTTTATAAATTAACATCGCGTTTACGCACGATGTCCTGCGTAAAAACTGCACGAAATAATGAAGGTTGAAAACAAATATACTCGTAACAAATAAACCTTCTTCCTAGTTCTCTCTCTCTCTCTCTCTCTCTCTCTCTCTCTCTCATGATAAAGTTCAATTACAAATGTCGCATTAATTTAATATTCAACTCGATAAATGAAACGCGATGGACGGCTCGCGGAGAGTTTCTATTTTAACTTGCTTCCTCCGAGATAACTTCGAAATGGCTGCCGGCTCCTCAAACATGCGCGAGACAAGCCGAGACACACATCGTGTATCCGAATTATTCTATTTTTAGTCTGGTCGCTTCCTTTGTTTACACCGCGGCATGGCCTTGCATTTATTATTGAGCGCGCTGAGTTTACACGCACAATATTGGCCGCGCCGCACTGGTCATGAAAGCGGCTCGAGATAATCAGAATTTAGCGCGCGTAACAATGCATTTGCATTAACGTAGTGCGCGCGGCCGCGTGTCGCCGGCATTATTTCATTGCAATTATCGGCGCCTCGGGTGGAAGCACGTTCCGCCGAGTCATCGCGGCGATCGCGCGCGAGTCGAAGGGAGCCGCGTTCTGAATTATGAGAGTTGATTTACGCACAACCACAAGTATACAAGTGTATATACAAGCGTATCGCGTCCCTGCGATAGATTCATGCGTTTTACAAGTAAAGTCCTCCTTACAAGTAAATGTTAACTCTCGAAGGATCAACGATAGCGATATCGTCGTCGATAATTACAGCATATGGGAGGGGCGGGAAACAACACGGCGGATCCTCCCGCATCCTCTATCTCCTCCGCAAAGTGGAAGCGATGGTTTAACATGTTAAAGGTGATCGATCCGCATTGAAAGGTTCGCGCGCTTGTAACGATGTACGAGACGCATTATCACGCCATGTGTGCATACACGCGCGTGTGTGTGTGTGTGTGTATTCGCGAGGCGATGCAGTTTACATATTTTACCGCGCCAGACCGCTTGCAGTTCGCTCATGTAACTTCGTTATTTCAAAAGGGATCGATTCTAAGCGCATCGACACGTATCGCGCGCGCGGAAGCAACGCGCGTTGCCCGCCAGCGAGCGCAAATTACCGCCCGCGCCGCTGCCACCGTCGGCGCATGTATCAGATTGCGCGATTGACAGCAGCGACGGCGGCAATTAATTCCGTGCGATTCGATCGACTTTATCAATCGCTAGGGGAAGGGGGGAAGAAGGACGACGGGTATTAGCGGAGTTGCCGCGATACGCGGAATAATTGAATCGGTATCAATGCGAACCGCGTATAAGTGGGGTCACGGAGGTCGCGTCACGTCACGCGTTCCCGCGAGAAGCTCGCGGAGGAATTAAATTTCGCTACGAGGGCTCATTATTGTCGTATTCGCACGGCGATAATTTTTATTTCCCGTTTGGCACACAGGTGTTGCGACGAATCCAATTAACGATGAAGCGCCACTACCGGCCCCGACCCGGTACCCGCGCGCTCACACTCACCGGTTTTTGTTTCGGTGCGGATACGCGACGTATCGAATTATAATATAAATTAACGATGATGAAATTGGCAATAACACACATTCGATAATATCGGACGGAATTGTTAATTGTGCTGTCAGCGAAACGTAAAGTGGCGAAATAAGCCGCGCCCATGCGCGCACGAGCCGCCTCGCCCGTTGGTAAATAATGGTGACGATGATAATAATAATAATAATCTCGCGCTTCTGCGTCATTTATCACGAATGAAGTGATCAGCCGCGCTGAGCAGCTACGATGATTATCGCGATATTTCTAAACGGTGCGACGCGAAAAATTTATGCGTGTCAACGCGAGGCGGCTGGTGAAATTTAATTATTTTGCGATCGCGTCGCACGCGCGCGCATGTGCGCTCGTGCACGTAAAAATAAATGCGAACCTGCGTAGGAGAAGTTATTAACGAGAAATATGACGCGTTGTGCCCGTTTATCGATTCGCACGAGATACGGATTGATTTCGCCGACGAATCGTTCCGTGCTATCTTTAGGACCGATTACAGTTATTAACTCTGCTAACGAGTGATCATAAACGATCTGTAGCGTGCTTGGGGGAAAGAGTTATAAATTAAATATCGGAAAAGGGGAGGAAGAGAGAAAGAGGAAAGAGAGAGAGAGAGAGAGAGAGAGAGAGAGAGAGAGAGAGAGAAAAGGCGAACGGATATCTTCATCGGAGAAACAGTCGTCATAATTTACGTTCCGTCTGGTTAGTAACGAATAGCACTGCTTCGAGAGCCCATGAGGGAGCCGTATAATTTACTTAAGTGTATTTCCGTCCCAACGCTCTACGTTTCCGACTTGGCGGATTTCAACTTTTAATAACGGTATTCTCATTCTGAGGCATGTTCTAGAAAAAGAAAAAAAACGAGAAGGAATCTTTCCTCGCGTGCTGAACTGAACCGACGTTTTTACGCACTCGCGGCGATTCCTCAGCGAATTCCGGCTTCTTGATTTTCACCTTGCGGTTTAATTGGACGAGCTATAATTAGTCGGGTTACGTTACATAGGAGGATGAGAGTGGCCTCAATAGCCAATGGTAAATTGCGGCTTTAGTCTCGCAAGGATGTGCCCTCACCTTCCGGCCAGCTCGGAACGCGCACGAAGATATCCGCCGGAGCAATTCGCTCGAATTACGTAAATGCGCAATGAATAACTTAAGTGCGACAAGAGAGAGAGAGAGAGAGAGAGAGAGAGAGAGAGAGAGAGAGAGAGAGAGAAACAGAGCGCCATTCGCCGCGAATGGCGGCAATTGAAAGTTTTCGTCGATTGAGCGAACGACACTTTAGAAGAAACTCTCAATCGACGGGGAGGACGGAAGTACTATGGCATTAAATTCGCGAATTTTATGTTAAATGTTATGTTATGTTAAATGTTTAATTCGCTCATGAATCCTCGAAATAATCGGTCTATCTAAGCTCAGAAATCGATGATCGGACATCGATGATAATTTTTCGAGTTGTCGCTACATTGATAATAGATATGCAATATTCAACGGTAAACAATAATAATAATTCGTCGATATCGTGTCGACGTATAGTCAATATTTTTTTACTTATTCGATATCTAAAAGATATCATATAGATATTGATCGATTTTATTGATGTATGATCTAAGTAGTGTACTCATCATTTAGGTATCATATTGAAGTCAAATCAATATGGATGCATCGATTCGACTTGAGCATGATACAAACTGAATAACAATTCGATCATCGACATCTGCTTAATATCTTGCAGATATCGCGATGAACCGAAAAAATATCAAATCGATCGTTGATCTTCACATGCTGTCAACTTGATTTCGATGTAATTTCGGCTGGATTCGTTATGAATGCGATATCGTTGACAAAAAATACTTGTCCATCAACGCAATAAGGTCTCGTCGAGCACAAGTCGTTATGTTGTTATTTATACCTCGCGAAATGTTCCATCGACATCCTCGATGGAGGAAGAATACCGGCGAGAAATACGAGCAATATTTTTAATTAATTGAGAATCGATTCCGCCGATATTTTTTACGGGCCCCTGATGTGATTTATAAACACTGCAATGTGGGAGAGAAGTTTCCGTACTCCATAAAAAATTTACGGCCGTCAAGTAGCGTATCTGAGTCGCGCGAAAATGCGATATCTGCGGCTTATATCAGCCGTAAAAAAATTGTTTTTCTTATGTCCTTAACTATCGCGCTAGTTATAAAATCAGGATAAAGGCCGAACCCTCGAGCAATCTGGAGATCGAGGGCAGGGAGGAGAGAATTTCGCGAGGATTCCCCCAAAGAACCGCCGGCTGAGACAATCTTTTGTGCCGCTTGAGTGTTTCCCGCCGGTGGTCCCGCTCGCAAAAGTTTGAGATCGAGAGGTTCGTTCCAGTTTACATCCTACTCTCCGACTCTCTCAGAGATGCTAGAGAAAAACGCACCAAGTGGTCTCTAGTTGCGCGCGCGCGCGAAGCTCTTCCTCCCTATCCCTCTTGTGTCTTATAACAACCGGGACTTATATTCGCAGGAGAGTCGTCCCGCGGGCGATCGCGACGCGATGATCCCTATCGAAAAATCGATTTCTTATCGGCCTCGTGTGAAATATATAATCTGCCGCGACTGGCGCGACGTAAAGTGGAAATCGCGCCGCGACGTTGTTGGCACGTCAAAGTTCTTTCGCGTCCGAACGACAGCGCGTCGAGAACAAATCTGCTCCCAAAAATTTGCCCTCTCGAGAGGTGATGTCTCTCGTTTATCATTCGAACGCGAGCGCATCCTGGTGGCGGCCCTGGTTCTGGAGAACCGATTCTGGTAGATGCGATTCCGAGTGAAGAAAGTTCCGACGTAAACACGTCGCTTCGGGGCACTGTGTACCTCGAATATTTTGTTTCAGTTTTTGCCTCGTCACTTGACCGAATCTGTTATCCCCCGGGTAATTTCAAACAATAGGCACGGTCTAACGTACAACCGAGACCTTCGCGGACAACACAGGCGTGTACACAAAAACGTTTGTATCGGTATGCCGTCGAGCAGTTTATTCTGTCAGCTCAGCGCGGAAGGACGCGTAGAGCGCCACGTAAGCCGGCTGTGTGTGAGATACTCGAAGCAACTTTTACGGTTGTCACCGACAATTGTCGTCGTGCTTACGGAGAATCTTCGCGAATCTGTCGTTTGTGATGACACTTGAGCTTGTCGCGTACAAGTAACGCGCGGTCTTCATCGAACGGTAATTCATCGAGGAAACATTTATTGCACGAATATGTGCTTATAACGGATCTTCGGCTCCACCATGGCGCGTAATGATATCGCCTTTATTAACGCGCGCGATCGTGATTAACCGCTACTTCTCCGGTCGAGGCTCGAAGTATCCGAAGAAACATTAACGGTGTGATATAGTGAGACAGTGTGACAGTGTGACCGTGAAAGGACACAGGACTTAATTCCATAACTTCAGGGGGCCCAACGAGAGAGCGACGAGAACGAGGACGCAGCAGTGAGGATGCTACAGCGAATATGCAACGGCAGTGCAACGTTTGGTGAGTCTAAATTCAACCCTGTTTGTAATTCGCGTAATTAATTGCTCGACCGTTTGGCCGTGCCGTGAGACAGAGAGAGAGAGAGAGAGAGAGAGAGAGAGAGAGAGACGAAATGTCACGAAAATATAATATCCACCGGAATGATTGCGTGTTAAGCGGGGCTAAATTCGACCCTGAACTCGGCAAGACACAATCAAATTACCCCGCAGGACACGATCGACCTTCGTGTCAATTCCGGGCCAGAACCGGCAAGGTCGATAATTTCGGACCATTCAGACGCGCGATAATCAAGTCGATTCACTGCATCGATTTTGCGCCCCGGGCGAAAGTTTTCACTGATAATCGCCGATAATCGTTGATACGAAACTTGAATCATCCATATGCGTTGAATTAAATTCGATTTAAATTCGAGAGTGAGCATATTCGAGTCAAAACTGAAAATCTAAGCAAATATCGCATGTATATTGATTTGCGTCTCTAATGCTCCATAAACTGCGAATTCCATTTCGAATCTGCCAATGTTTCCTTTTCATCTCTGTTTATCCTCTCCTCTCCTTTGTTATTATATCAAATTTAAATCTGGCCAGATTGAAATCTCTATTCATATTTCCGGACACACAACCGCTGCCTTTGTTCTCTTTTCTTTTCATCCGTTTTGAATTTGCAAACCGCATGAAAATTTCCAATGCCAATAAACAAAACGATAACAAAGGATTACGAAGAAAGGAAGTTGGTTCTTTTATTTGCCCGTTAATTGTGGGTACTTGTTATATTTACTTATTGAACTTTATTAATAATTTATTTGATAGTTAATTATCATACGTACTCTATTCGTAGTTGATCAAGTATAATTAATATATAACTCGTTTAAATTGAAAATAAAGATTAAATGTCAACGGAATGCCGAAATAATCGAGTATTGAATAATTCCGAATCTATTATGCATTTCCTGAGAATGCATACAATACTTGGAGTTAGTCCATTATACAAAGAGCTCTAAGCAGGTTTTCCTTTAGACTTGAAAGTGGCGGAAGCAGTTGAATAATTATTTGTTTAGAATAGCGTTCTCTGTGATGAGATTCCCCATTGACATTTCAAATTCGACGAAATTTGCAGAGAGCAATGTAGAACTTCGTCTCGACTGTACACACGCGATTTTACACCAAAACTTTAACGCGACGTCTGAAATGCGGACATATTTAATACTGGAAATCAATTCCCTAACAATTATCCGCATTGAAACTTTGATCGAGTTCGATTGTCGGGAACGAAACGATTGGCAGTGAAAACGAAACTGAATTGAAATATGTCGTTGCGATTTTAAAACGTCACGGAAGAGAAAAGAGTTCTTCATCATCGAAGGACTCTGTCCGATTTTTAAATCCTGACGATCTGACATTTCAAATCGCTTTCTGCCCCAACTCGCGCCCGGGGTCAAGGCAGTTAAATAAGTATCGAGGATAAAATGAATAAAACATGCGGACAATATTCACGTCCAGGCTGCGCTACCGCTCGCTGTTCCGTACACCTGTTAGCGCATTAATCCCGACGCATTTCGGAAGTTGTATCGATAAAGTTTAATTTCGCTCGACAATTCATTAAAACTTGGTCGCGCGCGTTCCTGGCCTAACGGTTATTTCGTCTACGCGCACTGCTGCCCGCCGATACAATTATGGCAGTCGCACATAGTAAAGCCGTCATGATCGCGTCTTCCTTAATTAATCATTATGAAGTTTAAACGGTCCTTCTCGCTTTCGTCCGGCTCCGATGATAAAATTCGAGAGAACGATGTGAATTGCACTGAACGGACACTGTCACAACGACGACAACAACGACAACGACGATGAAGACGTGGAAGACGTGGATTACCGCGATGAAATGGATCTCGTTTGCTCGCTTTTGTGCGTAGCGTAAAGAGCTTTCGCCGCATTAACGGGGAGACGACCCGTGTATTTAAAAATACTCGCGGGTCATTCCCGACGTATCAAATTTCAACGTGAATTGTTTGTCCCGACGCACTCGACAATTCGATTTTCTCCCTAACAAAAATACAACGCGGGGGTGGAAGACGACGCGAAGTTATAAACGGAAAACTTCAACGATATCTGACGGCTCTTTAGCCTCCGGCGATAACTTCGTGTCGCGACACGTGTAACTGACTTTTGCGCTTTGACTCACGAACCGAAACTTCGAGCCCCACGGCTTTTTTTTTTGTCGTCACAGTTAAAATTGATGGTTTCTCCTCTGTCAGGGGGACGAAAAGCCCCGTCTGTGGATGTGGACGCAGCGAAAGGGGATATTTAGTTAAGCGCGTTTATCGAGTCACGCTATCCCGGGATTTTCGCGATGGGACGTGCGAGGCTTCCTCGCGGCGATTGTTCCGAATCCCTTTGATCACCGACTGGAATCCGAGCCGTCGCCGTGCGTCTTAACGCTTCGTTACACGGAATAATTTTGATCTCGTTTTCCCCTCCCCCCTCTCTCTCTCTCTCTCTCTCTTTCTCTCTCTCTCTCTCTCTCTCTCTCTCACCCCCCCTATCTTTCGCTGCTCTTGTTCTATGTTTGTTTCGCGTCTTGGGACCGACATTTTTCGCCGGTTACGCGTCGATGCTATCGGAATTTGACAGGACCGATCGTGAAATACGCGTTCGCACGCGCGGGTGGACTTTTCTCATCGTAATTCGCTCGTGCTATCCTCGCACGAGGTTTCGCCGTTTCTACTGTTCTTCCCCGTAGCCTCGCTACCTCGTAATTCAATCCCGCGAGCGACGTTTATTCCCTCGAATGTCTCCTCATTACGTCGCGCAATTTGAGATCGCGATAAATCCGCGTCGAAGACCATGAATTTTGAGCGTCAGACTTCTGGAATTCTTTCTCTCTTTCGCTTCTCTCGCTCTTGAATAAAAAAAAAGAAACGTCGCGCTCCGCCACTTTACTCTCCTTTCACACCGATAACTTTCGCAGCATTTAGTTTGTACATTTCGCCTCGCGTAGCCTCGCCTCGCCTCTCTTCTCCTCTCTCCTCTCTTCTCCTCTCTCCTCTCTTCTCCTCTCCTCTCCTCTTCTCGTGTCTCGTGGCTCGCGTGATCGCGAAACGAGAAATCTCGTTAAATCTGTGTCGAAGTTGCGGCTCACGGCAGCGCGTTCCTTTGAATAAAATCCTTGTTGCTTCTCACTCAGCGCGTTTCGCTATTTGCATGTTACTTCCGTTCGCGTAATTAATTCTGAAGATTTTCAAATGAAATTAAACGATTCACTTCCAAATTCATGTCTTTGATACGTTGACTGCCGGTGTATCACCGCTGATATGTTCAAATAAGCGCGAGAATGTATTTTCGATCTGTGCTTGTAAATTTCTGTGCGCTGCTGAATTTGCGCTGAGCAGGTAACATGCTAAAGAACGAAAATAACTCGTTGTGAAATTGTACACAGTTTGTACCGCTCGCTCGGAAGCTGCGTTTTGAAATCACTGGATGTGACATGGAAATTTTCGTAAAGCTCGTCCTTTGTAGAAGTATGTTGCGCATAATACGATACCGAAAATAGCAAGGATGCTGCATGAAAGGCACAATACATTATTGTGACGCTCCAAGATAAGGAGCCATTTTCCGTCTCGACAGGTTAATGTACTGTGCAATTAAGGGTACGCACGGTTTATGAGCTGCGACGCACGGTACGTTCCAACACTTCCAGCCGAATAAAAATTTCCGGCTAAACAAGCTACGTGAGCGTTTAAAAAAGCTCTCGCGCACGGCTCAAATTGCTGCGCCGCGACAATCGAAAATGAGGAGAAAGAAAAATACGCGCGACCGACTGCGTAATGAGGGGATTAGATTTGTTAGAATTAGATGTGTATAGCATATAGTGTACAACTGTGTGTGTGTGTGTGTGTGTGTGTGTGTGCAGTAATGGAGGATTGCGCCAGCGGCATCTAATTTTGCAGCGAGACGAAACGAGGTATTAGAAAGGCATCTAATCAATGTCTAAGTCGCGGCACGATAGGAAACGAGATTCGCTCGCGCCACCGACTCGTAATCTCACGGATTCCGCGCTGGGCGTGCCTGAAATGCCTCGGCCGATGAATGTTGACTCGCCGGGACCTGACGTCGGAGTATCCCGCGAAATTGCCCGTGTTCGCCGGCGAGAATGAAACTTTGTTCGCCGGACTATTAATAGTCGCGAAACACAAGGTCCGCGCGGGAAGAGCGCGAGACCTTGTGTGTTATGCTTCCCGCGATCTCCCGCGCGCGGTCCGATAGTCGGATAATCACCTGCCGTTGCTCTTCTCGCCGCTCGCGCTGTACCTCAACACTCTCATCGCGTCACCTGGCAGACCCGCCACCACCGTCGTGCCGAGTCGCGTGTCTGTTGGCACGAGCACGCGAGATCACATGTACTTTGCGTCACTTCCGCGACGATGTCGGCTTCGATCATAACTTGGTCCACCGTGGAAGCTCCCTGCCACCCCCGTCGAGAGAGAGAGAGAGAGTCACTCACTCGGCACTCTGCGCGTATAAACTCCAACAACGTCTCGAGAATCCTTCCCCCGACGGCGAGATCGCCACCCTCCGCTCATCGATGAGTCACCCGCCGTCTTCCACGAAAACAGTCTGGATAATTCACCACGTACGAGCCGATATGCGTCAGTCGACGTTCCACCGTTTCGCGTCGGTCGTTCCTCCTGGCGATATCGTGAGTTGGGCGATCGCGGGAATTCGAGTGACGTTGAAGAGTCTGACGCCCCGAGGTCGGCTCCCGGTCCCCGGTGGAAATTCCCCGGCTTCTTCTGTAATAATCTGCCTATATCTCTGCGTTTTCTCAATAAATTTGCTCCTCCATCATTGTCACCGCGGAGGTATCTCGCGTCGGAAAAAAGGAAAGGTTTCCGAGATACAAGCTGAGGGACTCTGTGACGGTGGTCTCAAGTGAGATCTGCTTTAAAACTCGAGCAAAAGATCTCGGCTGATTATTTCCGCGACTCCAGTCGAGTTTCCAGTGCG